GAGGCAGGTGTACGGAAGACTATTCCTTTGGTCTTGTGGCTTGGGTGAGAGTTAAAAGAGTTGTTACACACATTCTGTTTCAGAACGTTGATTGCAGTTCCCTCAAAGGGAAGTCTTTCTTGAAGGGCTCTACATAGAACCAAGGCCAATGCCGTCTGGTCGATTCTGACTCATAGCGCCTGTACAGGATAGAGCAGTACTGCCTCACTGGGTTCCTGAGCCCATACATCTCTATGGGAGCTGCCAGTCTTAGCTTTCAGATCTTTCTCTGGAGTAGCTAGTGGATTTGAACCACCGACTTTTCAGTTAGCAGCCTAACCTGCAGCGCCACCAGGGCACTTCCACATAGAAAGGTCAATCCCCTTTCTCTTCGCTTACGAAGGAGTCCCTAGATGGGACGCATGGTGAGCACACACTTGGATGCTAATCAAAACAGAAGTGGGTATAGTCCACGCAGACACTTCAGAGCCAAGGCCTCCCTTTACTGGGGGTGGAGTGAGTTACAAGTTGGGCCAATGACCAGTAGGTTAGCAGTTTGAACCCAGTAGCTGATTGATGGTAGAAAGATGAGGCTTTCTGCTCCTGTCAAGAATTATAGTCTTGGAAACCCACAGCGGCAGCACAACTCTCTGTTAGAGGCTCGCTACGTGACAGTACTGACTCAGGAGCGGTTGCGTTTGGAGTTTGGATCAACTTTCCAAAATCAACTACTGAAAACCCTATGGGACCCAGTTCGACTGTGATTCAAACGGGTTGTTTGGGGTCAGAGTCTACTTCATGGGCAACTGCTTGTTTGTTTTTCCAAAAGCTCAAAGCTGGTTACCAAAGAGCAAGCGTGCGGTGGAGGGAAATATCTTAATATGGATCGTCTACTCAAGTCTCTGTAACTCCCACCAAATGTCTGGTTGGGGTTATGTAAATAGGGAGTGTGTACCACTCACAGAGGGGATTGGTCAGTCTTCATGACCACTTACCTGGCTACAAGGATGAGCCCGCCCTGAAGGAGGACAGAGAGAGAGCCCGGCACCATTGTCTAAGATCGCTGTCTGAAGTGGCAAATGACCATGAAGAACGGGTGTACCAGACACCGTGACACAGCCCGTGGGATGGAGCAAGAGGAGCGGCACCACGGCTCTGCATCTGTGAGGCCGAGGCCAAGGGAATGGGAACCAAGGAATCAAGAGAGAGACTTGGCTGCTGACTGAGGAGAGGTGGCTGTGGACCCATGACTGTGTCCTCACTGTTTACTGACCCTGACTGCTTCTCTAATCAAGCCCCATAATTGTGAGTCTTGTCCGTGTGCTCTGTGATAATGCATTGCAATGAATGATCAAGCCCAGCATAGAAGTAGAGTGCTGGGGGGACACACACTTGGTGTCAGCGCTGAGAAAGAAGGCCGGGGTGTGAAGGTATGTCTGACCACTGTGGCTTAGCTATAGGGAAGCCAGAGGAGGTCAGATATAGCCCTCCAACAGAGTTTATTGCAAGTTTCTCTCTAGATTCATGCCAGCAATTTGCCATTGCACTTGTGAGCACAAAAAAAAGAGAGCCCCTAGTGATATAGTGGTTACGTGTTGGGCTGTGATCCTCTTGGCCAGCAGTTCGAAACCACCAGCAGCTCTGAGGAAGAAAGACTGGGTTCTCTACTCCCGTCAATAGTTATAGTCTCGAAAACTCACAGGGGATTGCTCTGAGTCAGCAACGAATTGAAGACAGTGAGTTTGGTTTTAGAGTAGTTTGGTAAAGGGCAGATTAAGGTGAAGGAATAATAAGTAAACAGAAATCTTTCCATAGACTACTCAATCCTGTTTAAAGGACTACACACCCCAAACAAACCAGAACAAACTCCACTGCCATTGAGCTTCTGTCACAGAGTGGCTCTAGAGGGCAGGGCAGAACTGCACCTGTGCATTTCTGAGACTGAATCTTTCTGGGAGTAGAAAGCCTCATCTTTCTCCCTTGGAGAAGTGAGCCATTTCAAACTGCTGACCCTGTGGTTAGCAGCCCACAAAGTAACCAATTTCACCACCAGGGCTCCTGAGAACTATTCACAGAAGGTAACCAGTATGCTCCCAATGCATATGCCATTCTTCCACTTTGGTCTAGACCTCCGGGGAGAGGCTTAGGCTCCTCATGGTTTGTAAACTAGTGTAAAAGGTTTTCTTAATGAA